CTTACAAACTGCCACACTAAAAATAAAAGTTGAAGCTTCGTCTCTAGGACTGAAGTTTAAGTGGTTTTAGGGGCTAAAGAGATGGCTCAGGGAATAAACCACTTGCCAGAACTCCAGCAATTGGATGGCCTACCTCTAATCCCAGCCCTCAGGAAGAAGGAAGGGATATATAACCCTGAGGAAAGTCAGTCAGCCAGACCAGCCAATTAGGGAGCTCTGAGCTCAATATATAATGTAGAGTATGTATGATCTAACCTGCACACATTCACAGATACTTGTACACACATTCACAGGCACAGAGACACTTGTACTCATAGACACAGACACTTGTACATACACTCACAGACACACAGATACTGTACACTCACAGAGACACTTATATGTACTCATGCACAGAAATATAGTGTTTTTAGGGGGCTGCAGAGATGGCTCAACATTTAAGAGAACTGCTCTTCCAGAGGACCTGGGTTCTATTCTCCACACCAACATGGTAGCCACAACCTTCTGTAACTCCAGTCCAAGAGAATTCAATGCCCTCTTCTGGCTTCTATGGGCACTGCACACACATGGCACAGACAAATTCAGGCAAAACACCCATACATATAAATAAAAGGGGAAAGGGTATTTTTAGAAGCTGGGGTACAGCTCAGTGATGCAGCAGCTCTTGCCTGGCATACATAAGGCCTTGGGTTCACTCCCAATACCACAAAATCTAAAAGAATTTCACCACAAAGAAACAAAGAATTTTTTTAACTGAATGGTCACCACAGTTCTTGAAATGTCTGAAGTATCTACAAAATACCCTAAAAAACAACTGGAGAGCCAGAAATAATGACACCACTTTCATTATAATCCCATCTTCAAAGAGGTAGAGTTTTTCGAAACTATTTCACTCAAATCTAAACTTGTAAAATCGTCTGAGTAGAAGAAATAAGGAAATAAAGGCGTGAACGGGCCAGGGTGAGGGAATCAACACAAAGAAGCAGGCACTACCTCCACTCCTTATTTGACTAAGCACTGAGTTCGCCCAACTGGCATAACTGTCAAGCCTGTTGCAAGTCCAAAGAGCATCTACAGCAACTGTGGGAGGAGGTTTCAATTCTTTTTCCTAGTTTTTTTAAGCAAGGTCTCAACTGTGAAGGCCGGGTTGCCCTTAAACTCACAGTTCTGCCTCAGCCTCCTAAGTGCTGCTCTTACAGGCATGTACCACTAGTGGTGTGGTTCAAATCTTGGTAGAAATCTTGACATTTATTATAGATGCATGCATACATACATACATACACACACAGGCACTAAACTTCTATTGGAGTTTCCTTACCATTAAGATGGGTCCTTATGGTTCAAAAGTTTTAGGAAACTCCAAAAGCACTTTTATATAAAAAGAGAAAATTCAAATACGTGTAAAGGTTAGCATATCATTTCATTAGGCATAACTGAGGAAAAGGCAGGCCACTGTGTACATGTGCACAGGACCACATGTTAGTTCTGCTTTCTACAAATAATAATAATAACAACAACAACAACAACACCACCAAGGATCCAAATTTCAGAAGACTATCACAAAGGAGGCAAAACAAACTTTCATTTTCTGTTACAGTTTTCCAACTAATCAGACCTCCCATGTGGTACACATACATTCAACCAGGCAAAACAATAATACATACACCTTAAAAAAAATCAAAATCAAAACTACACCTTAAAAAAAAAAAAGAAATTCACAAAATCTAATCACAATGCATACTGTATTCACACAACCCTTCTGAGTTAGTCAGGGAAATGTTATAGAAAATTAAGTCCATACCTAGCCTTTATTATTTCTATACAGTTCATCTGGGTTTATTCTGGGTTTTCCTACAATAATGCTTTAAAAAAAAATCCACTGGGCAGTGTTGACGTATGCCTTTAATCCCAGCACTTGGGAGGCAGAGGCAGGTGGATCTCTGTAAATTTGAGGCCAGTGTGGTCTACAAAGGTACACAGAGAAACCCTGCCCCCAAAAAATAAGCAAACAAACAAAGTAACAAAATCCTAGAAAGGAATTTCTTCTATATGTTCTTTCTATTCTGTAAATTACTTCCAAAAAGTTGGTGAGAATATAAGGCAAAAAAATCAGCCAATCCACTACGAGGAGAGCAAGTATCATCAGCTAAGCACCTCACAGTCACTGCCAAACCCAAGAACACACCTTTCTCAATTCTGCATCTTACTCTACTTCTCTCTGCTATTCTCCAGAGAGACACAGAAGCCTAAGTATGAACGCCTTGCTGGACCCTGATTCCACATCATGTTAACTACACAAGAATCACTGTCAGTCTATCTGGACCTGAGCTAGTAGGTAGTCTTTGGTCTCCTCTGCTGATAAAATATGCAAAGGTACAAAATCTATTCTTAGGAAACTTTTAATGCTGCCAGGCACAATAACATTTTAGAAAAGGGAGCTGAGAAAATGTGGCTCAATGTCAGAGCACCTCCCTAGGACATAAAGGGCCCTGGATTCAATTTCCAACATGAAGCTGGGCAGTGGTGGTGCACGCCTTTAGTCCCAGCACTCAGGAGGCAGAGGCAGGCAAATCTCTGAGTTCAAGGCCAGCCTGGTCTACAAGAGCTAGTTCCAGGATAGCCTCCAAAGCCACAGAGAAACCCTGTCTCGAGAAAAAAAAAAAAAAATCTCTAACATAAAAAAGAAAATTTTGTATTGTCCAATGATATTATAAAGAAATGTTTGCCATCCCTAAGCAGAAGGTAAATGCACATCAGAACTCCATCAAAGCAACTTGACAGCCTTGGGGATGCTAGTATAGGGGAAGTAACCACTGGTAGGGTATGCAGAAATCACAGCTCCTGTACACTGCTAATGGAAAGACAGCCTTTATGGAAAAACTACATAACAAGCCTCAAAACTTCGCATATGATCCAGCAATTCTCTTTCTGGGTATGTGCCCAAAAGAAAGGAAAGTGGGGACTCTCAACAGACATCTGCACACTCAAACTTGCATTATTCACAACAGCTAAAATGAATGAATGATAAACAATACATGCTATATATACATATATACTAAAATATTGCTCACCCTTAAAAAAGAGTAAAATACTGAGACATGCTACAATGTGGATACATCTTAAAACATCATGCTAAGTGAAATAAACCAGTCACAAAAGGGCAAATGACTGCATGACTCAAAATAGTGACCCTCATAGAGGCATAAAGGGAAATGAAGTTGCTGGGGGCTGGCAGGGGAAACCAGGGCACAGAGAACATGAAAAGATGGCAGGTGGATGGTTGTGATAGACACACAACAATGGGAACATACTTTCTGCCTGCCACTGAATTAAAACCTTAAAAATGGTTAATGAGCTGTGTCTGGTAGTGCATACTTTTAATCCCAAGAGTGGTTGGTTAATGGAATATCTTACATCTATTTTAATTGTACGTGCTCAATGGGGGAGGGAGTGAGAAGAAGATAAAACATGTGTCCAAATTCTTCTCATACATGCCTGTTTATACCTTTTCCATGAATGCTCAGTTAATTTAAGTGACTACATGAGTCTTAAGGAATAACTGTAGAGATTCAGGTAGTGAATTCCTTCTAATCCTAAAACATTTATTCTGGGCTTGCTGGAAATAAAGTTCTCTCCCTGATACAGATGTAAACAGCCATCCCAAGTCTACTTCAGATTAAATGAGTTATAAATCCAGTATGTCTCCTGACCTTTTTATTTATCCCCTAGAATCTTCCTTCATGTTTTTCCTATAACCTCATATAATCTATTCTCATTTTTCCTAGCAAAATCTTAAGTCGAAAATCTTCTACCAGGCATGGAGGCAAATACTCTGGAGGCAGAGGCAGACAACCCCTCTGAGTTTCAGGCCAGCTTCATAGTCAGACCCTGTCTCAAAAATATGTAAAATAAAATAAAAAAGTGTTCTGTCCCTCAAAACTTCCCAGAGCAAATCTTCACTACTTGGTAGACAAATCACCCTTTCCCCTTTCTTTCTTCAGTGCTGTAGCTCTGAAGTCTCAGGAATGCCAGGCAAGTGTCCTACCACTACCACCCTTCCTAACCCCATACATCATCTTTCCAGGACTCAGCGCCCACATCAAAACCTTATTCTCATCTTACACTACTGTGTAAGATAGGCCTACTAGTACACACCTCTAATCCCAGCTCATGGGGAAAAAAGGCAGAAAGTTCAGCAGCTCAAAGCCAGTTTCAAGGTTCAAGGCCACAGAGTTCAAGGCCAGGCTTGGCAACATAAAACCTTGTCTCCAAGAACTGAAAATCCTTGCTGTGAAGATGAAAATATCATGCAAATATGATCACTAAATATTTGTAATTGTATTATGTGAAAATGCTGCAAATGCTATTATTAGAAGCTCTACTTTCTTGACCTTTAAAATTCAGTATTTTCAAACGCCACTTCTTTTGATGACAAATTGGTAGTACTATCTCTTTCACTGGGGTCTACTTTCCAAGACTGTGCAATGTCAACAAGCAAATCAAGAATTTAAAAATGTAGATAGAGCCAAAGACACCATTCAGCAGATACAGATGCTTGCTGCCAAAATGGGACCACTTGAGTTCAATCCCTGAAACCCACATGGTAGAAAGAGAGAACCAACTCCCACAAACTGTCCTCTGACCTCCACATATTCATAATGTGCAAGCAAGCAAGCGCCACACGTGCACGCGCGCGCACGCGCGCAAACACACACACACACACACACACACACACACACACTCTCTCTCTCTCTCTCTCTCTCTCTCTCTCTCTCTCTCTCTCACTCACTCACAAAACGTCAGGATGGGAAAAAAATCAGACATTTCTACCATTTAGTTTTCCAGCTTATCAACTGGAGAAATTCACTTATAGGATAAGTGTCTTTGGATGAGCCCTTTAAAAAGTAAAGCATGTAGACTTGGTCACGTACCAGGAAATTCTGGGTCTGAAGCCTCTCAACTCTCCAAATACTATGCAGACACTGATCAATGGGTCTTACCTTTCAGCAGCGGCAGAGGTGTGAGCTCAATGGGCTTGCCTTGAGATCTAAACTGTGAGGAGCTCTGCGACCTCTTCTGTCTGGCTTTTCTGACGGACTTCCGAGAAAATCCGTCTACTTTATCCACTGATGGAGGAGTAGTTGGTGCTGAGGACATATCCCTACTGAAGAGAAAAAGGTGACATGAACATGGTCCCAAGGTTGTACACATTCTAAAATTCTTATATACAATATTCATGAAAATGTTTTGGGAATATGTAACCAAAAAAAACATCAATTAAGAAAAGTCTTCTCAAGGGAAAAAATATAAAAAGTAACATGACTACCATTAAGCAAAATGAGAGCTCTAATGTATTACTGCTCCATTACAATCATTAAAAAGATTGTTTGCCTGGACTTCAAGTGTCTATATTGTCTGCCCATTTTAATTGCACAGCTATTCCCATCTTGGGATTCCTAAAGTGATTTTGGAGCTATTCTTAAGAGCTGGAAAATGTCCATAGAAACATTTTCCCGACATATTTAATATTATGAATGGGCTAAAACCCTTTCTGCTCTTCAAGAATCTACATAAATGAAACCAGGTGTGGTAGTCAGTCATCCCAACACTCAAAGAGGTTAAGGCAGGAAAGGTTATGAGTTCAAGGCCAGACTAGGCTACACATAGCAAGTTTGAGGCCATCCTGGGACACACAGTGAGAGGAGATTCTGTCTCAAAAAAAAAAAAAAAACACAAAACAAACTACATCAGTATCTGACAGCAGTGAAATGTACAATTACTGACACTTTCTAAGCAGGTCTTTCAGTGCAGTGTGCTTCGATTGCTATTATGAGCTACCACAGCACAAATGAGGACAGGCTCAATTACTTGAAAGAGAACACACAAGAGGCATAATTAAAATTATTTCAAAAAAGTCTTTTTAAATGAAGCCATCTTAAGTTATTCAAGTTTAATAAACAAAACTATGATAAAACCTAGCAGGAAGCTGAACTGAAAACATAATTTCACAGCCTTCCTAGATGGAGTCAAGTTTTAAGTTCAAATATTGTTGTGTTCCATCAAACTGATGGAACAGCTTTCTACAATTTTTTAATCTTCTGAAATTATTCAAAAGGATGGATGCTAAAAGTCCCAAGCATTAAGCTCAGCCTCATTCACCAAACTAAACAGATGTCATCATCCAGGTGGCACTGAGGCTCCATGCAAGATTAATGGCAGAAGGGATAGACAGAATGCATACAATGAAGTGCTAAAACACAATTACTCAACTGTCACAAAGACACCTAAGACAAGTGCTTTTGTAACTTTCATGAAGAGTAAGACAGTTGCCTCCCCAATTTGTAAGGCTAAAGTCATCTGAATTACCTGGATCCAATAAAAATAACAAACACGGGGCAGAGGGGTGAACAGTGTTTAGGGTTAGTTTGGAATTTTGAAGACTTCTTGGTTCTTTCATTAGAAAGTTATTTTGTTTTGTTAACTATCTAATTTGGTCTTAAATATAATGTGACAGATAAAAATCAAAATTGTAAATTATAAATACTGTCGAAAATGTCAGATTACTTCAAAATACAATGATCCCACCAGCAAGAAGTTCCACATGCTACTGGTACGATGTAAATTTAGTGATATATATATATATATATATATATATATATATATATATATATCTCTCATGTGAATTTTTATATATATTCTCTTCCTTCATCACTCATTTTGTCTCTCTTATCTCTAACTACCATCTATAGGTAGTTTTCTTCTTAATCATTTGCCTCTTATGAGCACAGCTCTGAATAAATGTCAAGGATCTCCTCAACTCTAAAGCATTGCAGAACTGGTAGTAACAGCGGGGACCCTGCAAAGCCCAAAGAAACAGGTTTCACCTGGGCCACTGAGACCGAAGCTTTAGCATTCTCCAAACAGCAGGCAACCAGGGTTTTTCCAAGGGGAAGGAAGGGATCAGGGAAGTGGCCTGTTTGTCTGCATGTATGTTCACATAAACCCCAAGCCCTGG